ACATAATGTTGTTCTGCTCATGTTTAGGAAGTCATGTCAGTGAGACTTTAAGGGTGTAGCTTCCATTCATAGGAACACACAGTTTCACAGCACATTCCCTGATCCTCTGGCTCTTATAGTCTTATAGTCATAATGATACCTGGACCATAAGTGTGGGAGTTGTATTATAGCTTTATCTGTTATTATGTAATGGTCTGTTCCAAAGAGAAGTTTGCTTGATGAGGGGTGAGAATCACACTTATCTATAAGTATAAGGACAAATATTTAGCGTATAGCTAGGGATTATACTGATTTAGTGAAGTGATAGTTATAGGTTCTCTAGGATTCATGCCTTCACTAGCCCTAGGTAGTTGGCTAGGTTTCCAGTACCAAGCATGCTTTCTCTCTCATTCAGCAGGTCTTAAGTCCAATTACAGACCTATTGGCTACTACCAAAGTATATATGGCACTATTGTGCCATACTGGTCATACCAGTATGCAAACACACAGGGGTTTATTAAAACAAACTCAAGTTTGAGTTCCAGCCTTCCAGCAGGATTCTGAAGCTGCAGGTCAGAGGAGTGGCCAGAACCAGCAAGGGAGTGAGTTTATAAAGGGAAAAACCACAAGCTAAGGGAGTGCAAGCCGTTCAGCGGGGATGCTTCCTGGGTTGATTGGCCCTGGGGTTAAGTATGCATTTGGAAATTTCTATTAAAGCATCTGGTGAACTCCTGGGATATCTGGTGGCCATGGTAAGAGGTCAGTTTCCCCAGTATCAGTCTGATCCATCAGGATGTGAGGGCCCTGGAACAACTTTTAGCTATTTGTGGCTTTTCATGGAACTGGGTTCAGGGTCCAGTCAATAGCTTCTCAAGATGGTGTCCAGCCTAAAATGATGTTAGTCTTGCCTGCTGGTGTCTGGCTTCTCAGTGGTTCATATGCATCATTGTTGGGTAGGGCTACTGGTTGCTTCCCTGTTGTTTTTCCATTGGCTTAGCGGCTACAGCTGAATCTACTGATGTTTTAACCATCATCTGCAGCCCTGCTGACCCACTGACCAGCTGCCCTGCAGTCAGCGCTCCTGGTAGGATTTCCAGTCTTACCAGCACCAGTTCTGTGGCTGCTGTCAAATGCGGTTTTTAACTGAGTCTCTATCATTCTATCAATAAATACTTGGGAGTCAGATGTTGGTGTGAAAACCTGACAGCTCAGAGGGGTCAAGAAGCAACCAGCTGACTTTCCTGCCTTTTGACCAAAGACCCAGCAAGAGAACATCTCTTTATTTGCCCTAAACCCAAAAGACTACAAATCTCGAAATCCCTTCCTACTCCTTCCTGTGCATCTCTCTTTCTGTCTTCCTGGGTCACCATACTCTCTATGGCTAATTCATGTCAACTAGTCACTGACTCTGCCCCCTGATCCAATGTTCATTTTATTAACATGGTCTTGGGGTTTCACAGTGTGAACAAATATCCCACAATATTTCCCTAGTTTGGAATCTTGCATGGTACCTATTTTGGTACAGGGAAAGCTAGTCCTTAGGAAGGATGCTTTGAAATAAGTTACAGCTCAGGGCTCCCTGGGTCCTGTGTCTGAAGTGCATGCAATAGGAACTTACCTTCCACCTCTTGGGGGGTAACTAGGGGCAACAACAATAGGCTGTAATGTTTTGGGAGTCTCTGGGACAACCCTGGCCAACAACTCAAAAAGGGCTTCTCATGCCTGATTTTTTTTTTTTTAAAGATGGTCTTTGACTCTTGGAAGGATCATTGTTCTCATTTAAACTATATATGTATCTTTAGATACAAACTCATAAGTATTACAAGGACTTTTTATTTATTTATTTATTTATTTATTTATTGGTTTTTCAAGACAGGGTTTCTTTGTGGCTTTGGAAGCTGTCCTGGAACTAGCTCTTGTAGACCAGGCTGGCCTGGAACTCACAGAGATCTGCCTGCCTCTGCCTTCTGAGAGCTGGGATTAAAGGTGTGTGCCACCAACGCCCGGCATACAGGGACTTTTTAAAGGTATGATTCTTTATAACTTTTTCCAGATATCCTTACCATTATTTTGCCCATCTCTCCTTCCTCCTCCCTAATTAGACCTCTCCTGTCTTCCTGTAACCCTGCCCCCATCAGATCACATGTACCTTGCTATTCCCTTCTCTGTTGCATCCAACCTCAGACCCCACCCTGGCAGCTGTCCCTTTTTACTTTCCTGGCTTTTGCAGTTACCCTAGGATCTGTACTGAGCATATAATTTTATCTAAACTCATCGACTGTACTCTTAAATGAGAAATACATTATATTTTATACAAGTCATACCTTAATAAAGCCAACTTTAAGAATGAATACAGATAAACAGAGCAATGTGGAAGAATCTCAAGCCAAAGAGAAACTCAAACATTGTGTTGAGCCAAGAAAGAACAAGGAATACATAAACGATTTCATTCAGTAAAATTCACAAACATAAAACATCCATGTTCTGTGATGAAAAGCAGAGTATCTGTTACCTGAGGATTGGGACATGAAGGAACCTTGTGGAGTGATGGCAAGATCCTTTGTCTCCTTGAATAGGCATACAGATATAGATGGAAACACTATGCATTGAGTGTCTCATTGTCCTCAAACTTCTCATTAATTAACATTATAAAAAAGATATTAAAGTAAGACGAAGGTTTTATGTCAACTTGACACAAGCTAGACTCATCAGAGGAGGGAGCCTTAGTTGAGAAAATGCTTCCACAAAATCCAGCTGTAGGCAAGACTGTAGGGTATTTTCTTAATTACTGATTGATTGGGGAAGGACTCAGCTCATTGTGGGTGGTGCCTTCTTTGGGTTAATGGTCTGGGGTTCTGTAAAAAAAGTGGGCTGAAGTCCAACTTCCTCACAGAAACAAATGTGCACATGAAAAGAAAGAAATAAAAAAGCAGGCTGAACAAACCATGGGGAGCAAGCAAGTAAGCAGCACTCTTCCATGGCTTCTGCATCAGCTCCTGCCTCTGGGTTCAGTACAGGGCCATGATGAGGACTTGAAAGTGCAATAAACCCTTTCCTCCCCAACTTGTTTTTTGGCCATGGTGTTTCACTGCAGCAATAGAAACCCTAACTAAGACAAGGAAGAGTAAGTACAGTTTTACACATATGAGATTGTTGGTTGAGTCATGTTTGTATGCTCATACAATAATTGCTTTCCTAATTGTGTAATAGGTACTCCTGGAGCAAAGGCCAAAGTGGATGACATAGCTATCTGATATTGGGAAATCACATCCTGCTGGGTAGTTCAATGCTTTCTCTTTGAACGTAGCTGAGTTCCATCCTTGGGAGCCACATAGTAAAACTGATTCCTGTAAAAGTTGTTCACTGACCTCGTCATTGCATGGTCTCCAGGAATGGACCTGACTGGGGTATCTAGGAATGAATAAAGATAAATAAACACATACTGGAACTGTGTGATATTTTGTTTATGATCTAACAAACAAAGCTTGCCTGAAAATCAGAGTACAAAGCTAGCCACACTAGTTAGCCATAGAGGCCAAACAGCGGTGGCACACACCTTTAATTCCAGCACTCTGGAGATAGAGGCAGATGGATCTGTTAGTTCAAGGTCACCCTGGTCTACAAGAAATTGATCAGGCTAAAAGGGAAACAGAGCTCACACAAAGGTGACCCCCACACTTGGAGCGACACATCTTTAATCCTAGCACTAGGGAAGTGGAGACAGGAGTGATATGGCTAGGCAGAGGGAGGAATATAAGATGGGAGGAGATGAGAGAGATGCAGTCTGAGGAGCAGTGCAGTCTAAGCAGTCTGAGAACAGGATCACTCCCTTTGGTCTGAGCATTAGTAGAGGTGAGAACTCTTCATCATTAATGCCAATATCTGACTCTGAGATTTTATTATTAAGAACAATTAGAATTCATGCTACAAGGAACAGCTGGGGTCAGGTGTACCGGGCGCTTGGATGAAGGAAGTACAACATTCTGGAAGCTTAGTGTATTTATTGTGTACAGTGAGCAGGGAGAAGGGGTTATTGCATACAGCTGAACAAGGAGGCAAGTTTAGTAAATCTCAATAGGAGTACATCCACACACAGACTAGAGAAAGGTTTTGCTCTTTCCCTGAGCCTGGAGGTGTGTGTGGGGGATTTATCATTTTCCTATAGATATGCCTTCTAAACCATTCTATACAATTTGCTAGTGTGAGCAAATTTCAATGCGAACAGCATTGTCATATGCTTAACAGCCTTCAATTCCATCAGCAGCAGCTAGTAGGTGGTAAATCGCTTTTGTGGGTTGCATCCCCCATTAAAAGCAAAACAAATGCTGTTTTGTAGAAATTTTATTTTGGTTTTGTTTCTTTTTCTCTATTCCTGGATTTCTAATTTGTAGTCGTTACGATGTCACAGGGTAGCAATGAGAAAAACAAAGTCTTTGAATTCTGTGAAAAGCAAAACAGTCTGAAAATCCCGGGGGTCTGGGTGTAAATCTGAGCTCCTGCACGTAACATATTTTGGTGTCTATGAATTGACCTCTCAGTGCTCTTTCACCCAAGTTCCACTAACAGATCTATTGCTAATTTCACCCAAGACACAAACTTTTCCTTTTTCTGTCTCTGCTTTTGCTCATTCGAACCATTTACCCGTATGACTATCGCTCCCTTCTCTTTGCCTGGACTTATTATCATATAAGCCTCAGATTAGTTTCGAGGAGGGATAGGCGCTTGGAGGAGGGATGGGTGCCCTTCGTTGACCTTTCATAGCATGCACAGATAGGTGCTTACAGGTTATAACACGATTATTTAGTCGCTCGTTTCTGGGAGTAGATTAAATCCTTTCCATACAGGCACTTTTAAATTTATTTTTGCATCTCAAGCAGAAGAACAGTCTCTGGAACAAACTAGGCAGGCATTCATTTGATGGCTATTCAAAGAAAAAACTCGATCAACTGTGCTGACAACAGACGTGCTACGCAGACTCCGGCCATCAGGGGGCGCTCACGCAGGCGACCCTGTGCGCAGGCGCGCCGGGCGGAGGCCGCGGTGGCGGTGGAGGCTGAGGCCGGGGGAAGTGAATGGTTTTACCCAGAGGGCCGTGCGCCGCCTTTCTCCGCTGGCCCCGGCGCGCCCGGCAGCTCCTCCCCGGCCATGGCGTTCACTTTCGCGGCCTTCTGCTATATGCTAGCGCTGCTGCTTACCGCCGCGCTCATCTTCTTCGCCATCTGGCACGTGAGTAGCAGGGGCAGGGGGAAGGAGGGCGAGCGACGGCGCAGCCTTCTGCAGCTCCGGGCCCGAGGCTGAGCCGGGGCCCCGGCGGCGGGTGCGCGCCAGGACGTGGCCGGATTGCAGGGGCCGTGGACGCGGGGCTGCGCGCTCCCGGCTGGGGTCCGGAGGGCTCGGCGTGCGGGAGCCCGGTGTCGGCGCCACAGCGTGCGGGCCCAGGCCGCGCTCCGCTATTCGCGAGCAGGGCTGGGCGGGGCGGGCGGGCGGGCGGCGCCGTGTCTGCGCCCGGGTTGCCGCGTCCTCCATCGAGGAGGATGCCCAGTGCGCACCGAGCGGCGTGAAGTTTGCCGAATTTTTATCCTTGAATTTACAGCTTGCCTTTTACGGCTTCCTCGGAGCACGGCCAAAATAAGAAGCTACTTTAGCTGCATTTCCAACTCTGCTTTGCGGCACTACTTAATGGGCGCTTTTCTAGTAGAAGGCTGTTTCGGATACTGGTAACTGGTGAACTTTGAAGCAGCTTGGATTGATTACTAAGTTGGCCACATTTCCGAATTTTCCCCTTAAGTCATACTTGGATCGCGGGAGCTTTTTCAGGAGACAGCTTCCAAGTCACCACTGTGGTCAGGGCTGCTTGATTTTGAAAATCTTCAGAAACCTTCAGCTCCTCATATCGTTGTAGGTGGACGTACGTCCTTACTGTGCCTGGCCCCGGTGACAGGTCTACCTGAGATAGGAAATTATGAGTTTCTCTACCGCTTAGTACTTAGCTCTCTGGAGAAAACCATTCTTAAAAGTTGATCTCATTTGTTTCTACCTCCTTCTGGAACAGTGGTATGATTTGAATGAAGAAGAGGGTTCAGCCTCATCTACGTTTTAAGTTCAGTTTCATCACCTTCGTGTGTATGACTCAATGGCTGCAGTAACATGTTGCAGAAGGATCAAAAGTCGAGCAACACCACAGGCCCCTTTCCTTTTGCTTAGCAGTGTGAGTGGAGTGGGGAATGCTGGGTTAGGCTGGTCACCGGATCAGAAATAACTGCCACTTCAAAACGCTCGATAGTAGGGACCAAAAACTGGAAGAGCATCTTCAGCATTTAGTGGAAGAGCACTAAGATAACTTAGGTATGTGAGCTGGCCCCACCGTGGTTTCTGATGAAGTTAAAGTGTTTAGATATGGCTTTAGGTCAATTGCTCTTTTGACAAATGTCCTCTGGGAGTGGAGATTCATAGAAGAGAGTTGTGCTGGGCGATTTCCCCACATTTTCCACATTCTGTGTTTTAGATTAAGAAACCCCTGAACTGCTCTTTTAAAAAATGGGTAGTTTCATTAGAAAGGAGGGTGTCTAGGTAAGAAAGACAATTTTAAGTACTGTTGTAGACTTTAAAAAAAAAAAGTGTATCATGGATCAGTGGAGAGCTTTTAATTTTAAGCTCAGGGATTCCTTAGTTCAGTACTTTTTTTGGAAATAATTTCAAATGTATGTCTAGTGTACATTATTCTATTAGAGATTCATTCAACACTTTACCAAAAGATCACTAGAAACCAACTGAAAGAAACTGTTCAATCAAAAAAAGTTAGTTTTGATAGGGATGTGGCCTCGTTGAAGTACCTGCCCAACATGCACAGAACCCTATACATCCCAGTATAAATTCTACCACATAAACGGGGCATAATGGTGTAGCCCTGTGGCCCCAGCACTGGGGAGTCAGGTGGTGGCAGGATGACCACAAGTCCCCAATTCCTTCTTGGCTACATTTGATGCTGAGTTACTCGAAGTCCTGTCTCCAAAAATGGTTTTCTGTTAATTTGTTATTAATATGAGTCTTGGCTAAATTTGAATAATCATTATTGCAGTTATGGTCCTTGTCTTGAATTTCTATTACTAGACTGGGAATGTATCTCAGGCTAATGTGATGTAGCTGACTGTTAATAGTCATAACTGATCAGAGCTTATTTCCTCCAAAACACACATTTATTGTGTTAGAAATCATTGACAGAGGAAATCTCTTTTGTTGAGTTCTCTACATTTAAAATTCTTAGCCTAGTGGGTTTTCCCTACCTTCTAAAGCTCTCTTTCATTCAATAATGTGCTACACATTAATATTTTAGACCCTGGGCCATAGTAATGTGCACAGTGAAAACTTCAATTTCCTGAATATTAACAGTCTTAATTTTTTTAACTTGATTTTATTTTTGTAATCCTAGGACTATAGAAGGGTCTGCTAAAAGTTACATGGACATAGGAGGGGGTTCATTGTGGCTTAGTGTAGTTGCTTTTCTTCCTCTACTATTTGTGAGTTTTGAGCATCTGTAAAATTCATTTTCAGGCTAGTGAAAAGGTAACATGTAAATCATCTTGCTGACTCCACACCTGGTTTGAGGATCCATTTCTGTTGTTGATGGACTCTCTGGGGTTTTCCCACAGCTTCAGTTGTCCAGCTGGTATCAGAACTGGAGTTTTGGCCGCTGGAGTAGCCTCTGGTCGAGCAGGGGTTTTTATACCTAACAGTCATCTATATTGTTAATTTTAGGTTTAAATTTTTTTTTTACATTCCAAACCCAGTTCCCCCTCCCTCCTCTTTTGCTCCCCCCTCCCTGCTCCTTGGAAAGGGTAAGACCTCTCCTGGGAAGTCTACTAAGTCATTTCACTGAGGCAGGACAAAGGCACCTCCCCACCCCCACACCTCTGTGTCTAAGCTGAACAAGACATCTCTCCTTATAGAATGGGCTCTATTAAGTCAGTTTGTGCATTAGATCTTGGACCCACTGCCAGTGGCCTTATATATCATTGTCACCTACCTATATTAAGGGGTTTAGTTTGGTTATTCAGGTTTCCCATTTGTCAGACCTGAGTCAGTGATCTCTCACTAGATTGGGTCAGCTAATTCTGTGGGTTTCCCCATCATGGTCTTGACTCCTTTGTTCATATTATTGCTCCTCCCTTATTTCGATTGTACTCCAGGAGCTTGGCCCAGTGGCTAGTTGTGGATTTCTGTATCTGCTTCATCTGTTTCTGGAAGAGGGTTCTTTTAGGTAATTTTAGTTTTTTTAAGAAATTATTTTTTTACTTTTTAAAAATTAAAATGTAATTATATCATTTTTCTCCATTTCTTTTCCTTCCTCCCCCTTCCCTCAAACTTCTGGCTTCCTTGGATATTACATTTTTAATATTTTAGTTAATATTAGTTTAATATTTTTTCCTCCTATTCCTGTTAGAGTTTTTATTACAAAAGTTTAGGGTATTTTATACACATCTAGAGATTAAGACAAACCTGTGCTCTTTTGAGACAAAGAAGTTTAACTGAAACATGAGTACAATGAAAGCTAGACTAATCATTGTACAGGACTTAGTCCCATACACATCTGAAGACAAGAGAGGTAGGTGTAACCTGTGGCAGCAACAAAACAGGTCCTCACAACCCTTCTGCTTTGCCTCCTGACACCCCGAGTTAAAGCCACAAAGTGCTGTGTATCCCTGGTTTTGATTCTTTGTGCATTTTAACTTTGCAGTTCTGGGTAAGGTATAAAGACACTTAAGTTAAAGCCCTGTTCTCTTAGAAGCACAGGCAAACGCACCTTAGCAATGTATGTGATTGGGAATAAATTGTTTTGAGTCCATTCTAGAGTCCCCGAGCACTGTGCCAAGGGAGAGTGTTGCCCAGATAATTAAAAATGGTCTTTCTCCCCAAGGCCCACACATCCACTGGGGCAGACACACCTGCATGCAAATACAGTATTCCAGAGTGAGAGATGCTGTACTGGCAGGGTTACAAAAGGAGAGATGCTGACACGGGTACAGCAGCTTCTGCCCCATGAGAACAGTTACAAAAGGAGTGGCGCGGGAAGAGGGCTTTTCAGGGTGAGGAAAGCGTCGCATAAATAACTGTATAGGCACGGAAAGCTCATCACATGGGGAAAACAACTTGACTGGACACATTGAGTAAACTGAAATTTAAGCTCACAGTGGGCTCAAACCATTTGTAGCCATAATGACATGTTTGCAGGTCTGATTCTTGTTCTTTGTAGCACACTTGAGTTTGAGTGTAAATTGGTGCTGAAATACTACACTTTTGTTTTATTCAGCAATGTTCTGATGGCTGGGGCAGGCTTGTTGCTGCTTTATATTAAAGTGAGTGGTCCTAACTGCTGCAATTTTTTTTTTTTTAGATCATAGCTTTTGATGAGCTGAAGACTGATTACAAGAATCCTATAGACCAGTGTAATACCCTGAATCCTGTAAGTTGTGACATAACATTTATCTTTAGATTTCAAAAACCTAACTGCTTTTAACTTGATATAACTTGAAAATGGCCAGTATTTTCAGTAGCATGCTACCTCTGAATGTTTTTGAAGTAGGCAGAATAAAAAGCCCTCTTCCTGTCACACTCAATTGTTCTGTTGTTAATCTGCTGGTGATCTTGTCAGCTGTCATACTAACATTCTTCCAATCTGCTTTTTACATTGTCGGCCAAAGACAGTTGAAAAGGTCAAAAAGATTAAAAGAGTCAAAATTGCACTAAAGGTGTGTACTGCTTTTTATAAAAGTTGAATGTTTTAATGCCACATCATTTGGTGGGGAGGGCTAGGGCATTTGTATCCGTATTGTTCTGCTCAGTGTGCTTGTTCATACGCCTGTTGAGGGTTATGATTTCATGAAACTTCATTTTTTATGCAAATGTTTGCTTGCTGGCCCAGTCAAGTAGGGAAAGCTGTTAAATGCTTATGCATTTCTTTTTATGTTATAGCCATAGGCACATCTCTATTAAATTATTTAGTGCAGTATTTGAAAGGTGACCAATATAAAATGACATTAGTCGGGCTGTTATTCTCAGGCTGTGACTTGGACACATGGACCCTAGAATGGATTTAGCTGCCGTATCTTGTTTCATCTCTGGTTATGTTTGGAATAAATGGGTTAGTGCAGTTGCTGTTCCAGTTTGTTTCAGCTATGTGCTTGGATCACAGAATCTTAGTTATGGTGATGCTGTCCTTTGGCCTGAGGATGCTAGAATTTTGTAGCTAGCAGTTTAAATACAAACGTCTACATGGTTATTCCTAGTCTAGTGTATCTGCCTCAGATTTCTCAGACAGTCTCCTGTGACATATTTATTGATAATGTAACTCTGTGGTGTTTTGGGTTGAGCCTAGATACATATTTGGCATCTGAAGGAAAATTCTTCTCTAGACTGTAGGTTTGATTTGGCCCAATTGGTGAGAAACTAAAGAGTTGGCTTGTAATAAGGCAACAAGCAAACAGTAAATAGCAGGGCTGCCCTTCAAGGCTGCTTCAGGACAGTGAGGAGACCAACACAGTCGCATTCTCAGGCTCTTACTCAGAAAAGCCAGTTTGCTACTTCATCCTTGTTTCCCAGGTAAATGTGAGTGGTCCAGTAGGTCTCTAGTTTGTCTGTAAAGAATGTTTACAATAAGGCTCTGTGTAAATACAACCCCAAGTTTTAATTTACTGGCTCCCTTTCTTGTAGGAAGTAGAACTCCATAGGGTGCTTTCTGGTTGGAAAGCTAACAGGTGTGTATTGTAGAACAGCTTTGCCTCAGTCATTAAAACCAGTTGTCAGGAAGTCAGGAAGCTGGGATCTCTTTTGCTGATAGTATTTTGTGTTCTTTGGCAGTTTATTGTTTTAGGTATTCAGATGATGAGGTACTAGTTAGAGTAAAATGGACACTTCCCTGGGTGTTAGGCTCTGCACAGAAGCATTTGCTTGGAGTTTTTCAAAAGTTCAGGTAGATGGTAGGTGATTTAGTTACTCTCATGAGTAGGACAGTTGATTGAGATGCTTTACAAGGTCCAGGTGCTCTGACCAAGGCTAAGGTCAGAGGTTACAGGAGAGGCCACAGTTAGCTAGACACCCTGAAGTTTGAAGCTCCAACTGTGTTATCCTAATTGATTTTAACCTTAAGAGAGACAAATTTCACCATACAATCTAGTATGTGATTTCTGACTCTTCTCAATAGAGAGAAATTCATGCTGAGAAAAGACGTGCGCTTGGACGCCTGCAGCTCCAGGAGGGGAAAGGCCATTTCTAGCCCCATGAGCTGTGTTTTGGATAGGGTGCCGATAATTGGCTGATCAGCAGTGCATCTGACAGTTTTCCCTATTTAAATTTGTTTTGACAGTTCTGCCAAAGTATGGGGGAAGACAAGTATTTTTAAAAATGTAAACTTAACAAGAGAATAGAGTTCTACATGTTTCAGTCCTAATCATTTCAGCCATGTTTGCATGAAGTGCTTTTTTTTTTTTTTGATACTAGTCTTAATATGAGCTTTGGGTCATGGGTCATCAATAGGATGAGTTTTGTGGTAATTGAATGATCGAAAAGCTCTGATTTTTGTGAGACGTACATAATAAGAGTTTCTGTACATTTCTGAGGAGCCACAATTGTTCCTGGAATGAGTAGAAGCTGCAGGTGGAGTGCAGTGCTAGCATTGTCGCTAAGGATAGGTTTAAGAGTGGTGGGGCCATGTGATTCCAGTCACTGTCTCCCCCCTCAGTCTAGTGTAGTTGCAAAGTCATTATTTTTGTTAGGGCTCAGTGACTTTAGGGCTGAAGTAGGCTTGTCAGTAAGCTTGTCTTTTAAACTGCTGTTATGAAAGCAGTTCCAGTGGAGCTTGTCACGCATGCATTTCTTGGTCTATTCTAGTTGTAGTTACCGAGTTTGACGGTTTCTTGTTTATAAAAATTTGACCTTTAATCGATACATATATGAATATGCATGCATACATTTGTGGAGCCTATATTAGTTACTTATATTGCTTAAATTTGTAGAAAATATCTGGTTACTGACTTAGATTAGTTGGCTCTACTAGGATTTTATTTAAAATAATGTTCATTAAAATTTTGATGCTGGGATTGAGGATATAGCTCAGTGGAAGAGTGTGGCTCAGAATGTGTGGCCCAGGGTTTGATTTCTAGCACAGGGAAAGTTAGTTCACCGTATGGCTTAGAGCTGGAGAAAGTAGAGTATTAAAGATGGGCTTGAGTATGCAGGATGACTTTAGTTCTGCAGCATGGTTTACACAGGAAGGATCTGTCTCATACTGTTTTGACCTAGTGTAAAGCTAGTTGGTGATTGGGCTTTACAGCTGTGACTTAGGAGTTTGGGCTAGAATTGGTTTCAGATAGTTTTGATATTTTAATTAAAACTCATTAGATTGAACCATTTAGGATAAAAATGATGTAAGACAAATTACATCTTGGTCATTTTATAAGTGCATGTCGTTTGAATTAATTTTTCCTCATTACTACTTACGAAAAGGCTTATTTTCTTTTTGAGGTCTGAGGTTCTACTGGTCTTTTGCCACGTAGCATTTTGTTGATAGGTAGACACAAGGGAACACAAAGGTGAATGGGAACTCTGGAACCTGGCAATTTCTTTCTTGGTTAAGAATTGCGTCTTTTCCCTCCTACATTGCAGAAAGTGTGCCTCTTGCATTGTGTGCCTCAGTGTTCTCCCCAACTGTGCTGAGATGGTGGCTGGTTGGCTTTCCATTGAACAACTTGTGGGAAAGTGATGTGACTTGTAAATATTGTACATGTAGCATTCTTGGTTTTACTAAAGGCTTAAAAACACTAACATAAACTTAAAAATGGGAGTTTGTTTTGTGGATTTTTTATCATGTTGCATGTACTCAGGTTATTTCATCTTTATATTTTTATTGCTGAATGATGGAAATAAAAGCATTCTACTTGATTCACAAGCAATTGAACAATTTGAGTTTTAAATTTCTCATCTTACTGTGTAGTGAAAACTTCATATCCTTTGGCCAGTTTACTTATTTATAATCATACTTTTGGTAAGAAGTCAAATATGGAGACAGTATTCAGTAGCATCTTTGATTTCCAATTCTAAGGAAACAGTGGTTTATTTTTTAAATGGAAACTTGGTTGCCGCTTACTTTCCAGATAAGCAGCTGACAAGTCAGGCACTGTGATAATGGCTTATGTTTTTCTTTCAGCTTGTACTTCCAGAGTACCTCATCCATGCTTTCTTCTGTGTCATGTTTCTTTGTGCAGCAGAGTGGCTTACACTGGGTCTCAATATGCCCCTTTTGGCATACCATATTTGGAGGTAATACTTAAGAACCCTTAAAATCTTTTCTTAATTAAACTTTGATTTTGTGGAGGTTGATATTGTATGTCTGCATGAACATTCAGGGTTATTTAGCATTGGTTCTGCTCAGGCCGCTAAGCAGGTGACTGTCAGTGTTCTTGCAGTACTTGCCTCCCTAGTCTTCAGAGGAGCTCTGGCAGCACACACAAGTCTGCCTAGTACACGTAAGTGGATGGTTATGCACACATGGACATGTGAACTCACAGGTGAGAACAGAGCACTTCCGGACCTCAGGAGATTTTCTGAGTAGATTATCAAGTTGTTTCCCCAAGACCTTCAACCTTCATCAGCTAAGACTAGTTTTGCCCATTTTAAATGCCATATAAACCAATAAAATAAACAATATTTGTCTTTTTCCTACTATAATTATTCATTTCTTTTATAATTTTAAAGCATTTAGCTATTTAATAGATGAAAACCAGATTACATAAGCTTATATAGTTTTTTAATTTTATTTTACATTCCAACCACCCTTTTTTAAAAAAAGCTTATATAGTTAATGCCTGACCTCAATAGCGTTTCCCCCCTCTCATCCCCATAAGTTAAAAGCTTTGCTTTTTTTTTTATTTTTTATTTATTTTTATCTTTTGTGCATTGTTGTTTTTGCCTGTATGTATGTCTGTGTGAGGGTGTCAGATCTAGAGTTAGAAAGTTGTGAGCTGCCATGTGGGTGCTGGGTGAACTAGTCAGTGCTCTTAACCACTGAGCCACCTCTCCATGGGCATGTCAGAATCTCTTATCTCTCACTTTTAGGAAATGTGTTTAAGAATATTTTTGTGTAAAGTGCTGTTATGTCTATAACTGAATGGAATTTTTCAGAAAAATTGTGTTTGTGGTTAGAGAAGGGGATGCAAAGCAAGCGTGGATGGTGTAACACTTGGAAACTGGGTAAATTACAGACCCTGCTCCTTCTCGGAGTGTGAAATTGTGTTGAGATAAAAAGTTAAAGGAAACACTTAGAGCCTAAAGAGCTTAAGAACAGCAGCTGCTCTTCCACAAGACTATGGTGGCTCATAACTGTCTGGAACTCTGATCCAGAGAATCTGACACCTTCTCTGGCCTCTGTGGATACAGCATACATTCACATGGCACACATACATACATGCAGGCAAGTTAGTCATGCACATAAAATAAAAATAAGCCTGGAAAAGAAGAGAAAGCAAGCCCTTACTTTTTCTTGTACAGTCACTCCTGTTTTTCTTGGATTTCTGAAATCCAAGAGACCAGATGTAGCTGCCCATTTTGTATTTAGGGTCTATAGTTAGATTTAGATGGTAAAAACAAGGAATTGGACCTGCAAGCACAGGTGTGCCCTGTGTCTAGAGCACGGCTCCCTGTAGCAGGTGCTGGAAAAGAAAGCCCCTGCCCACCTGTAATGACTGTGTTTATTTCAGGTATATGAGTAGACCGGTGATGAGTGGCCCTGGACTCTATGACCCAACGACCATCATGAATGCAGACATTCTAGCCTACTGTCAGAAGGAGGGATGGTGTAAACTAGCTTTTTACCTTCTAGCCTTTTTTTACTACCTATACGGGTAAGTTTGAAACTACATAAAGTTAAAAAAAAAAAAAAAAAAAAAAAAAACATCTGTAACTTAGTTCTACCGGATTCAACACCCTCTTCTGGACTCTGAGGGTACTGTGCGCAACTGACAGACAGACATGCAGGCAAAACACCCAAATACATACAATAATAAGAATATTAAATATGAGCTATTTTAAATTGAAATAATTAAGCTTCTGTTAGCTTATATTTATTCTATTCACATTTGTTTTTGTATCTATGTTTCCATTATAGAAAAGGGCAAGTGAAGTATAGGTTGGTTGTGTTTTGAGGTTGTCCATAGATAAGTACAGTGAATAAGCTCTGTCTTTTTGGTTGTGACCCTAGCCTTTACTGCTGTATCATCCCCAGCTATGATTAGGCCCCGAATGGGGGAATTCCATCTGTTTTCTAATTTCTTGCTGATTTTCAAGTTCTTAATTTTTTCTGTTTTTTTTTGAAACAGGGTTTCTCTATGTATTCCTGGCTGTCCTGGAACTTGATCTGTAGACCAGGCTGGCCTCAAACTCAGAGACCCACCTGCCTCTGCCTCCCCAGTGCTGAGTTTAAAGGCATGCACCACCACAGCCTAATGTTCTTAAATTTTTTTAGCTAACTTTTGGGTACTGCTAGAATGTAGTAGGCATATGAATACACTTGCAGAAAGAGAAAACATGATTGCATAGTTGCATTGGAGATGTACAGGTATGGGAAATGTTCACCAGGACATATTTTGTTTCAAAATTGTCTGTGTCTGCTCAGCTCCTAGCTTTGTTTGGAGATAAGAATGTACAATCTGCACCATCCCCAGTGTCTCTTTTTTCTTTTTAAATGCTTTTATTTGTTTCTTGAGACTTTGATACACCATGATTATGTTTTCCCCTCCCCTGGCTGCTCCTCCCAGTGCCTCTCTATTGTCACTGTTGATATAGACATGCCCTTGTAACTTTGTGAGCCTAAATCACATAGTTACTTCTCCCTGCCCCTGTTGCTTAGGGTTGTTCTGGGCTGTAATTGGAACATTCCTCACTTGACCATTGCCTTGCATAAAATGGGACCAGTAACAGTTCCAGCCTCCTGAGAGTGCTTGGAGGGCTGCGTTAGGTCATGCCTGTGAAGGACTCAGAGAGCTGCAGCTCTGAGCCAGCCCTCCAGAGAGATGCTCCTGAGAGAGATGCTGTGTGGATTGCTTCTGTAGGCTCTGGTCCTCACTGAGGGTTCAGTCACATTGTTTTGCTTGCTACAATGGGAAAAGAACTAGGGGACAATAGGCAAAAGTCCATAAATGCAACTTAAAATCACACCCTGGACTTGTCAGTGGTCTTTTCTGTGGTGCGATGATATCACACATGAGCAGGCTATATAGAGCAGGCTCAGCTCTTTTGAGCTCTTAGTTCTTGTATTTGGGAGTGTTTGAATTAACAACTTCTCTTTTCATTTCAGCATGATCTATGTTTTGGTGAGCTCATAGAACAACACAGAAGAATTGGTCCAGTTAAGTGCATGCAAACCGCCACTAATGAAGGGATTCTATCCAGCAAGGTCCTGTTTCCAAGAGTAGCCTATGGAATCTGATCAGTTACTTTAAGAAAAAAAATGACTCCTTATTTTTTAAATGTTTCCACATTTTTTGCTTGTGGAAAGACTGTTTTCATATGTTATACTTGGATAAAGACTCTAAATGGAATTACGTATAAATTAATATAAAAAATGATTACCTCTGGTGTTGACAGGTTGAACTTGCATCTTAAGGAACAGCCATAACCCTCCGAGTGATTGCATTAATTGCTGACTGCCCTGAGTCCTTTGGGAGCTTTGTTAGAGGGCTCCATATAAATTAGCTGTAGATATGAGGTGCTTCTGGTGAACTGAAAATGTGTATCTGACTTGTGGGAAACATCGCAGGTTTCCTCACTTATCACTGTAGATGATTGTGTATGGATACAACAATAAGAAGAGTGGGATTCCTTTCCCTGTCGACTTGAATATTATCCCTATGTATTGCATGAGAGAGGGCTTTCCCTCCTTTCCATCAGAGTAATCAATACACTTGCTTTAATTCTTAAGCATAAGTGATACAAGCATATGCTGAATTACCTGTAAAGAATGCATTTAAAGCTATTTTAAATGTGTTTTTATTTGTAAGACATTATTTACTAAGAAATTGGTTATATTATGCTTACTGTCCTAATCCAGTGGTCTAGGTATTCTTAAGAATTTGCAAGTACTTTAGATTTTCAAAAATGAATTTGAGAACTGTGTAACCACCCTGCTGTTCCTTCAGTGCAACACAATAAAACTCTGAAATGAAGATGCTTTCCAGTGCGTTGTTTAAAGACTATAAATAGCTGTTTCTCATACTCAACCCATCGTAGTAAAAGACATAGTGTTGCCATTTTGAAAAGTTAATGTTGTATATTTCCTTAAAATAATTTTGGAATGAACTGTTAGTGTCACTGTTAGCATTTGGGATTGGTCTTCCTACTGCAGACACACACTTGATTCTCAAGTTCCGTTGGTGTGTGAATGTCTGGTTTTTCATAAGCATTCTTAGAATGACGATATAGGCAATTAGAAGTACTATAAGTAGTTTAAAAGTTTCTTCAGCAAATGATAAAAGACAACTATATTGTAGAGGTTCATAATGATCATGGCAGTATGTAGATGTATGCTGCTGCTTACTCCAAGGAGTTCTTGTACTGTTCTATTCTTTAGTGGAAGATAATCTTCCCAAGCTTGGGGAGAGACGCTGCCATTGGGATTAAGAGATGTGGAAGAAGGGGATGGAGAATCAGTTTGAGGAGGGCCAGGCCGTTTTGCAAAGAAAGCCTTGTAGTCTGCAGAGCACCTCCTGGGGACTGACTCCAGTTTGTGCAGGAAATTATTGAGTACTTGCTGGACGCTGAAGACTCATGCTTATTTAGAGTATGGCACCATCAATCATTTTGTTTCTAAACCTTTAATTATGTCACAGCGCATTCTCATTTTCCTTTCTGTTCACAAGGACCATGAGAGACCTGGCCATAGTTAGTACAGGGACAGACATTGCTTTTTAACTTTTAAGAAACTTCCTCTTATTTAGGGTCCTCTTTAGAATTAGTTGAGATTTTATTGGTTCCAGCTGAGTCCTCAGAGAACAATGAGGTTTACCATGTCACTTGTAGACTTTAGCATGCACATGTGCTTGTGACTAGATAGGTCAAGTGCTAGGGCACAGTCTCACTTGCCTTTTTAGTGTTTTCTGGAAGTAGATTCATACAAGGAGAAAGCAGGAGACAGAATCCTACCAGCTGTTTTCTTTGTTCTGACTTGTTCTGTAGGTTAACCTGTTGTTGGGAATGGTGCTGCCCTTGCCCTTGCCATCCTTTTCTCAGCCGAGGCAGTTAGCGTGGTTTATAATTTTTTGCAGTTGCTGTCAAATGCTTCCATTGTGCTTTGTTGCGATGCACTTCATCTCATCATCACCAGTTCTCCATCATTCAGAAGCCATTTCCCCATTGTGCCTGTTTTATTCATGATGGAACCCTATAACATCTGTAACAGCAACTGTTTCTCACTGCAGATTCTTCTTCTGAGTTAGGAGCCCCTTCACAACAAATGCCTACTTAGCAGTCACTGCTGAGTGGTGCTGTATTGTGCCAGCAGGCCCCTTGAAGTTTGAGTTATTTTTAAAGGGAAAGTGTAAGGAAATGACCACATAAGCCACTTTTAACTTGTATTTGAGTATTAGTAACTGAAGTTTCACATATGTGATGAACTGTCCGGCCTTTCATTCAGGTTTGTATGTTGAGTAACAGTCTCAGTAGGAAACAAAGGACAGGTCATTAACAAAATGTGTCTCCTCTCTGGGTAGGAGCTAGCATGGAGATCACTTCTGTGTCCCAGCTCCATACATTGTGAAGGTATGTCCAGTGCATAGAAAAGACATCAAGTTGTGTGTGCATTTTTTTATATAGTGTTCCTAGAATGTGATTACTGGACAAGAACCAGTGATCTCTGCGTATCTCTCCCTGCAGGGTAAGCTCTCATTGTAAGTGTGATTGTAGAACTTAATCCAGTCCTTTCAAATTATCTATATTAAAAAGTATGTATATGCAACTATTTGTCACTTAATATCCATAGATATACAGCTCAGTAGTCAGTTGCAAGTCAGAAATTTGCATAAGAAAAAGTATTTTAAAGGGGAAAGAAAACTATTGCTACATCACCTAGCCTTGTTCATAAATGCTTATCCTTGTTGGAAGCTAGTAATGTTAGTTTCAAGTCACTTTAAGCTCTTTTACTCGAACCAGTTGATTTGTGACCAGATGAACAGTTAATGTGTCTGATATTAGCAGTATAACCTAGGAGATGGTTCTGAACGAATCTTCCAAGGTGATTCCTAGAGAAAAAAGTGTTCTGTCGATGGATTTGTTGACTGTTTCTCAGATCTCTAGCTAGTGTCTGAAAGGAGTGTGTAACAGCTGCCTATTCTGTTTACATTGGAAAGTAATACTAACCACCAGGCGGTGAGTCTGAGCTAGAGGAGGGTTTTGCTCTATGTGGAGTGTCTTGACATGCAGAACGGTATCTCAGATGTCAGTGTTACTACTATACAGTGCTTTTTCTCAGTACTTAAATTTGTTGGATTATGCTTATGTATTCCGGGAATGAGAGTATCTTCAATGGATTGATGAGTAGATCCTCAAACTAAGAAAAGTTAGTCATGTATTTCCTGGTTTGTTAAAGCTTAAGCTTGATGGTGTTGTACCACTGTCTGAAGAAAACTTGTCATGTAGACCTCCCTTAGTCCTTGGAGCTTGCTTGTTTTGCTTTTGTATATTTAATAAAAACTTCCTCAAGTGCTGCTTGTGCAGTTGATGGGTAGTGGTTGAGTTGGTGTAATCCTGTGCTGATTTCAAATGCAGATAGCTTTGGCATGCACAGGCCATGACCCTAGATTGTCTACCTTTGTGCCCCCATTGCTTTTAGATAGATATATACTTTGGGCAGAGGAAATAATTTTTCCTAGAATGTTGACATTGTACCTTTTTATTTGTTTGCTTTTCAAAACTCCCCCCCCCCCCCCCGCAGCCTTGGCTATCCTGAACTCACTTTATAGATAGAATATCATGGCCTTGAACTCACTGAGCTCGCCTGTCTTTGCTTCCTGAGTGCTGGGAGTAAAGACGTGCACCACCACCACCCAGCTGGTATTGCCATGTTTTTAAACGTCACTATACAAGTATATTTCAGGGCTAATACTCATTTCCTGGTTGTGAACAATTAAAAGTTTTCCTGTGTGCTTGGTGTTAAAATGGTTTAGTTAAGCACTTGCAGTGGGAACTGAGAGGTACATACTTTGAACGCTCAGTTGATTGTTAGATTATTTGAATATGAAATGTTTTTTCTCCATTGAGTACTCAGAATAAGCTTTATATCAGAGGGGGTTGACTGTAGGAGTTGCCTCAGCCCCAGCCCTGTTGGTAGTGCTTGCCCTTCGAGCATGAGAACTTGTGCTTGGGCCTCAATACCCATGCAAGAATCTGGTGTATACATGTAATCCTAATGCTGGGAAGATGGGGAAGGAAAGTTTTGGGGCTCACTGACAGTGTAGCCTACTTGGCAAGGTCTAGCAAATAAGAGACCCTATCTCAAAAAGTGTGGTGGATAGGTCCTGAGGAACCTGTTCTCCACACACAGAGAGATTTGTTAATTTCAGTTCTAGTGAGTGTCTAAAACTTTCAGATACTGTGAAATTGGTTGCAATGGCAGCCTGTAGGAGAGAGAATTGTCAAAGTTTTTTTGATTTTGTTTTTAAGTCCTAGGATTAAAATGTTTGATACTAGTGGTATGTGATTCTCCCATTTTTCTCAGTATTTTTATAAGAATCTTAAGTTCTAGAAGCTGGTTGGTTGTGTTGGTGCATGCCTTTAATCCCAGCACTGGAAAGGCAGAAGCAGATGGATCTCTGTGAGTTTGAGACCAGCCTGGCCTACATAGTAAGAGCCTGTCTCAAAACTTAGTTGTGCGTAGAAGCACTAGGCTGTCCCCATGGTGGTGGAGTGTGCTGGTGCTCTGGGGAGGAGTTGGCTCTAAACTTAGAGCCTTTTTTTAAAATGAGAGCCAGCTCTGTGAATAAAAGTGCTTGCCACCGAACCTGATGGTCTGAGTTTGCCCCCGGAACGCATGTTAAGGAAGAAGAGAACTGGCCCCTGCACATTGTCCTCTGACTTCCACATGTACGCGGTCATGATTATGCCCACGCAATAGTGTGGGTGTGCATACAAAAACTTCATTCTTTTTACTGTGTCCCATGTCTACTGGTGACAGTCAGATGAGGCCAAAGTGTGGTAAACAATGATTCCCCAGTATTTTTCATCTTCCATTCCCTGCTGTCCTCTCCAGGTAAGTCAGAACAGCTAGTGCATTTCTAGAAAAACAACTGCATGCCAACTCTGCTACCCTCTGCTGTGCTGTAACAGCGAATCATGACTCAAAGCTTTCGTATCTGCAATAACATTTATATTCAGGATGGTAGCACTATTGGTTTTGGTTCAATACAAATTATGCCAGAGAACTTGGAAACTTCACATGTAGTCATGTATTTGACATCCTCATTATCTTGAGACAGATCTTGATAGTGAATCTCTCGATGATAGATACGTAGCTAATTTATCCCGGAACTCATGAAGATAATTATATTGCTGAAAAAAAAAAAAAAAAAGAGTAAAGATAGGTTGAAATACACTGCAGAAAACTAGGACCAGATTAGACTTGCTAAGAATGGGGGAGGAGGTACTGGCCAAGCCAGGAAGAGGGAGGGTCAGAGGTGAGGTTGGGTAAAGAAGCTGCCCTTGCCAAAAGTCAGCATGGAATTCACAAGAGTTTTTTTTATAAGCCTCTAGAATGCTTCCTTTGCTGCTGGGACTTAAGATTTAAAGGGAATCTGCTGTCCAGTGTGGAAGGACCTATTTTTTGCTAGTGTTTTTTCCCCCTACTGTATGTGAAGGAGGGATTCTCTATAATAACAGTGATGAGGTCTAACAGGTCTACCTGTTTGTACAAGCCCAAGCCACTGGTGCTTTTGATGACAGTCTATTCGGAATAATTTTCAGAAATAATTTTTTTTTTAACCAAACATCACTATACAGATAAGCTAAGTAACTGCTTTAGGCAGTTTATTGAAGTTTAACTTTCTTTCCAAAAGACAGCTCTGACAGCCACCTTTCCTGATAGTGAAATCTTGCAGTGCTAGCTTTCCTTGGGACAGGTGGTGAGGGCCCATTAGCGACAGAATGTCCAGGTGTTGAGCTGACACACACATTAGTGTGGGCTTCATTCTAGGTGACGTAAGTATAGTGCATACATATTGGACCATGGCTTTTGTTTGAAAAAGGAGAGTTGAACTTCCTAAATTTGAAGTATTTGATGCTAACAGAATAAAGGGAGTTCTATTTTCAGAACTTGTGTAGAAAAGCAGAGCCAGTAAGGCTTATTTTATGAATGGCTATATTTAAACCTTGAGAAACAAGTTGCTTGATTTGATGAGTTTTAGTATGTATAATAAGCCACCGTACTTGATGCTGGTGTAGACCCCTAACTCTGGGAAGGCAGAGAGTATAGGCAGCCTAAGTACCCACGCTGATGGCAGCCTAAAGCTGAGGTAGTGCCTGGCACAGGAAAGCAAGGAACTTTAGAGGTGTGCACAACAGCACTATCTGATTTGTCACATCCAGTGTGATGCTGCTGCCTTGTTTTCGAAGTGTTCAGGAGAATGGGAGCATCTGGTATCCATGGCAGTGGACAATAAAATAAGCACTTGCTGTGCAGCCTTGATAGCACTCATCAATGATTCAGTAGGATCGTTAGATTGCTTGGGCTGCAAGTTTACCCAAGAAAATTAATGTTCCTGGCCAAATGTGAGCATCAGACCCAGAACTGACCGAGACAGAGCTCCCCAGATCCCTCAAAGAGTGAAGCACAAAGTTTAACATTTTCATCATTTTTCAAAATTCAGTGTTTTGTGCAAATGCCTGGGTTATATTTAAATGTAAAAGACAAACCTGTATATGTCCCTCATGGCATTGGCATTTCAGTTCACGGCCCTCTTGGACTCATTTTTACCACACTGTATTTGAAAGAGGGCACTGTTACAGACAGGAACAGTCCAACTCTTACCTTGATGGTCTGTATGGCCCCTGATCCCCTGAGATCTCGAAGGCTGTCTATGGCTTGCTGTGGTGATACCGAGTCAGACAAGTATAGGAGGAGACAAGCAGCTACTGAGAACATGACAGAAAAATAATGGATTGTTAAAAACTGGCTTGGTTTTGTTATAAAGAGACTAGATTAGATAGCCAACTGTTCAACTGCACGTGGACTAAAAGATAGACCTTTTAGCCTGCACCCTTAACAACCTGATCTTAAGAGTTTTAACATGGTTCGTACTAACTGCTTTGCTCCTGCAAACGGTGGCTTACACATTACTAGTGAATGTGGGTTCCCTTGTGTACGGAGCTGAGAGTAGAGTTTTGAGTCATGGTTTCCATGGCTGAGAAACAATTTTAAAGAGCAGTTGTAGCACCTTACATCCCCAATACCAGTGCCAAGTCCCTGATTCTCAGAGTGCTCACTGACTCTTTCCATTTTTAAACCCACACCATAGCTGGCTGACATTGCTGGGCATCTTTCACGTCCTTTTTGGCTGTGTATTTTGGGGTAACTTTACTCAGATCCTTTGCTCCCTGTTTATATGCTATGTTGGTCTATCTATACAGAGTATATATTCTAGATGTATTCTCTTACACAAACATGCCACACAAGTCTCCTCTCCCATTCCATGCACAGTCTTCTCATTTTGACAGTACCCTTTCATATACAAAGGCTGTTAATTTGGATCTTGTTTTTCCTGTTTTACAATAAAAATAACTTACTATATAGTAAGGGATTTCTCAATTTTTTTTTTTTTTTTTTTTTTTTTTTTTTTTTTTTGGCAGCACACTTTAATATATGGGCTGGAGAGATGGTTCAGCAGTTAGGAGCATTGGCTACTTGTAACACTATTAATAAGCACCCAGAGACAGATATTGGGGTTCAAGCTTATGATCAGAAAAGCAAAGCAGGTGGCTACGATCTCCTACCTCTACCTCAGGCTGAAAGGGCTGTCCTGTTCTCATGAATCCACAGAATACAATGCTGACTACACTGTACTCCACCAAGCTTCAGACTGCATGCAATCCTATTCCTCCCTGTCTGGAAACTAAATCTCACGTGAAACCCCTTGCTTCTTTTTATACCTCTCAAATCCTGGGATTAAAGTCTTGAGCTCTGATTTACTCTCCTAGGGTGGTCTTGGACTCACAGAGATTTGTCTGCCTCTTCCTCCCAAGTGCTGGAATTAAAGGTGTGTGATCCCAAATGTTGAGATCACCTTTATGTGAGCTGCTTCTCTTTTAGACAGAATCAATTTGGTGTAGCTCAGTGTGGCCTTGAATTAACAGAGATCCAGCTGTCTCTGTCTCTCAAGTCCTGGGATTAAATGTGTTTTATCACCACTGCCTGGCTCCATGGCTTGTGGCTAGCTTTTCATTGTGAACCCTCAAGCAAGCTTTATTAAATCATAAACAATGTTGTATTACCACAGCTGCTCTTCCAGAGGTCCTAAGTTCAATTCCCAGCAACCACATGGTGGTTCATAAGGGATCTGATGCCCTCTTCTGGCATAAAGTCATACATGCAGATAGAGCAGTCATATACATAAAATAAATGAATGAATAAAAAAAATACACAGTAAGTAACTATACTTTTTTTTTTTTTTTGCTGTTTCATATTGTTTGGGGTTTGTTTTTTGGTCCAGGGTCTCATTGTAGACCAGCTTGACCTTGAATTTACCATATGGCCAAGTATGACCTTGAATTCTTGATTCTCCTACCTCTTTGGAGTGCTGTGATTTTTATACTTAGGTCACTCAGATATTTCTTAGCATTTTCTGTCAGAATCATAACACTTCATGGAGAAAACATTAGAAAAAAACTAATAAGACACAGGTGCTAAGACTTTCAAGTGATCCACCTAAGCCAGCAGAGAACAGCTGTCAGCCCACCCAGGATTTCTAGGAAAAACCAAGTTTAAGGCTTTACTCAGTCCCTGAGTCTTGGTAAACTTATATTGTGGTTTCTTTCCTTTAAATATAAAGTGAGATAAGGTTCCCAAAAAGGAGTTTGCCTACTTGGAAGTTAAACAGTTAATGAAAATACATTTCTTACCAAGGCAAGATCTTCCAAGTCCTCCATAACAGCTGAAAGGGAAAGAGAGTTTTGAAGTGTGTCCATTTTGATTGTATCCCAAGTTACAGCTCAGGATTTACTCCACTGTGCCTACTGTGAACACTCCAACACCCAGCACAGCACCTTGCAAACAGCGTAGCATTGCTGAGTGAATCACCCCAAAGCAGTGTGTGCTCACTATTGCTGGGAGGTATTCTCAATTCCTGCAAGGGCCAAAGAAGGCTGCCTCCATGACTGCTGGACCCCAAGGCCTACATCTGAGAAATGGAGGTCAAGGCTATCTGCCTTTTAGGTACAATATGAGTGGTTCTGGACCAAGTGCCAAGCACACAATGACCCTTTATCTGTCTCAAGCTGATGTGTCTGACTGCTTCCTCTGTACTGAGCCCTGTGCTAGCACTTTACATGCATTAGCTCTCATCCTGACAAGAGGAGGGAGGTCATGGCTGACCAGCGCCAGGAGTCATCTTGACTGGCATATTGCTCGTGTGTTCAGGGAAAGAAGAACATACTGTATCAGGGTTTTTCGGTTGTTTTTGAGGCAGGTAGCCAACTCTTCCATGATTTCCCAGCAGCTGCCTATGTCAGGGGTCCCTCCATCTGGGATTGGGTGGTGATGGGTGACAATTCCAGACTGTTGGTAGAGGTCCAGAAGGTTTGGGACTCTATATTTTGACAGCTCCCCTCTGGTGCAGAAAACAAATACGTCTTGGATCCCGTAGCTCTTTAGTTCCTCTGCCAACAGATCAAGGCACACACAGACGCACACATAAAACACAATATGTTTAAAGAGACAGAATATGGAGTTATTATGTTCTTCACCCAAAGTAATAACGGGAGAATTTGTAAATCTGAAATATCTGATGAAAATACCTGAACCAAAAACTGATTAGAATTAAACCATATTGATTTATAAGTAAAATGCTTTTGAATGGATTTCAAGATAGGATGACGGTATCGGTACAGCAGAAAAACGGTTTTTTTTTTCCCCCTTACAGTAAATACTGCCTTTAATAATTAGTATTTAAACTCTTGAGAAGGAATGGTAGCACTATTTTTAAGTTTGTTTTTTCCATGAAATAGCCATGTGCACTCTCACTCTGCCCTTTGATTTCGGGCAAGCATACATTATCTCCACCTGAAGCTCCTGTGTCCTTCCTCTCCCTGCACCCAGTTGCACCAGCGTGGGTTTACTTTGATAGAGCAGGTCTTGAGAAAATAGGGCATTAACTGCATTAGCCTTACATGGTTTAGCTCTTTTCATTTTAATAGTGTGAACCAAGAAATATTTCTCTAGGATTTTATACTGGAACTTAAGTTTTTTTTTTTTCTTTTTAAACTATGTGTATGCCTATGTAGGGGTAGGTGCACATGTGTGAAGGTGCCTGTGGGGGCCGGAAGAGGGCAATAGATCTCCAGGAGCTGGGGTTACAAGTGGTAAAAAGCCACCCCATGTGGGTTCTGGGGAACTGAACTCTGGTTCCATGCAAGAGCAGCACTCAGTCTTAACCACTGAGCCATCTCTCTAGCTTCTGAACTTTTTATGGCAATATTCATTCTGATTTAGTTCAAAACAAATAACTCCGAGCCCCAACCTGTGGACATTTATCTATCCAAGTAGAAAGCCTTTGCAGTTGAAATGTAAAACATGCAACTATTTTAAAGAGAAAGAGGATGGAAGATAGAAATGACCTTACTAATAATTTGCTAGACTGGACATACGTACATACATACATATATATAATACATATACATATAATACACATATATGTATATATAATACATAACACACACATATATATGAAAATAGAACAGAGATTATGAGGGGAAGAAAATGATCTAAAGGGAGAAGGAAGAAGGGAATGTGGAGGGGAAAAAAGATGACATATTTTGTCTCATGTGTACAACTTATATTTTAAATCTACACATATTTAATCAGATATGAAATCAGAGGGGAGCTACCTGGAGGGAGGAAGGTAGGATGGTGAGGTGAACATGAGCAAATATAATAATGTAATAGATCCCATTAGTCTGTACTCTAAAAAATAAGATAAAAAAGATAATTTGCTTTCTACTTAGTGATGATATGATGATGCTTAGGATATATTAAATTATTAAAATTTAATTTGCATGTTTTAACTTTTTTGTTTTTAGAGACAGGATTTCTCTGTGTAACAGCTCTAGCTATCCTGGAACTCACTTTGTAGACCAAGCTAGCCTCAAATTCAGAGATCCTCTTGCCTCTGCCTCCGGAGTACTGGGAATAAAGGCATGCACCACCATTGCCCAGTGGTTATGTTTTAATTTTAGATGTGGCAGCCAGGAAGTATCATTACATACACAGCTTCTGCTTGTGGCTATGACTGCATTTCTCCTGGACAGCAGTAGTTGTTTTTGTTCTTTAAGCCAGGGTCTTTTGGTATAACCTAAGAGGCCTTGATATCCTCCTGCCTCACTTGCTAAGTGCTGGAATTATAGACGTACCATAATGTTCTGCTTAGATAGTCTGATCTTGGTAAAACTATTACATTTTTTACAAGTGTAAAATAATTTAAACATACTTAATAAAGCTTTCAGAAGAGGGGATAATTTTCTGTTTGTCTTCTGCAAACACTGCACCCATTTTAAAACATGGTGACTTTCAGATTTTCCCAGAGAGGACATGCCATGGGAAGGCCTGGGTCCTCCGCCAGTGTTTTCATCCGTTCTATATAATGAATTCTATGTGTGATCTTAGTGTTTAAAAAAAAAAGCTAATGAAAAAAACTAGAATCTTCCTATTATTATAAAAGCCACTAATAAATAGGAAACCCCAAAATGTTTAATATTAGTTTTGAACCAATGATTTAAATAGCATTTGCTTATGTCATCTAAATGGAACATATACATTATTTCCTACTGTTGTATATATACCTAAAGCAGCACTTTATCAATACCATAAAGGGTCAACTCAAGTGCCAGTCTCTTTTCATCCTTTTTGCTTTTGAGACGGGGTCTCACTGGCACCATGGCTGGCCTAGAGCTCACTATGTAGATCAGGGTGGCCTCAAACACACAGAGATCTACCTGCCTCTGTGCTGGGATTAAAGGAGTGTGTCATCACACCTGACTTTCTTCTCATCTTTTTGATAGTTAAGAAATAAAGTACATTAACCAACCACCAGAACATTAACCTACTACAACAAGTAGGACAAACTGTTATGACTAAAAATTCCATACCAGTCAGAATCAACAGAGTGTAGATACTTATGTTCTGTGTGATAAGGCTCTGGGTGTTTAAGTAGGTTACAGTATTCCAGCCCAACCAGCATAAAATATTGTGAACTTTCACATTTGTTATTATCATATAATATGCAGGTAGAATGTTGGGATTATGACTACAGAGTGGAGACTGCCATGGCATGAGCATCCTTGAGCAAAGAAAATGACTCAGTGCCTGGCCCACCTGCATGCTGGTTGTATTCTGACCAAGGGTGGACAACTTTACTGCTACTAGGGGGCTCCCAGCTCAGGCTTAATTTATTATTACCACAGTCAAGACTGCAAGACATGGGAACTACAGTATGCCAGTTTTCTGTTTACATACTTTTCTCCCTTGAAGGACACATTCTAACATCAGACACAGTTTATACGTGTAACCAGAATTGTGAAGAAAAATAAAAAAAAGTTATGTTCAAATAAATGATGAGCCCTTGGACCTATCACAAACACCTCTTCACATGCAAACAGTTCAGTTAGGAATGTCATAAACATGTATTTGGAAAAGAGAATAGTTTGACAGAGCGTTTCATGCTTAAAACAAACTAGTAGTAGGCTTTTCTCATAGTGGACCTACCTGTATCTTTTTGAATATTTCTTCTAACATCTTTAAATTTACAACCTACAGATAAGGCAAGTAAAAAAAAATCATTTTGGGGATTGAATAATAAGTCATTTTAACACATATAAGCCACTATAGAAGGTCATTTCACATGGCTATTCATGCTTCAATTCCATTTTAAATGTGCATATTAATTTCTTAGAATCTCAGAAACACAGCTGTAGAAATTAGTAAATCCCACTGACAGAAGTCCCAATGCTGGAGCTCCTGGCCATGGTCTTAACCTCATTTGTACCTGGGCTTTAAGTCTCACTGAACCAGGTCAGTCAGAAATGTGGCCCTGGGTGTGGAGGGTGATCCTGAAGGCTTCCAGCGCCGCTCTATGAGATGTATTGTAGAGCAACAAGTCAGCTCTTAAGAATCTGCCCTAATGCCATTAGGAAGCGAACTGAGTGTTCTTACCTACCTGGAAGAGCACATAAACCAAGAAACTGAGGACAGTTCACTCTTGTCAGCGGTAGCCTGTGAAGAAAAATTTACCAAGCTTAGCTTTTAAAAAGCAAAAAATGGAATTTTAGCCTACTCAACAAGAGTGTCTGCCACAGAGTGAGGCTGTTTTAACATTTTACAGAGGCTGCACAACACCAGATCATAGGTAATCAGGTGGGGAACAAGAAAGGCCTACAATGACTGAAAGTTTAGAAAAGGGAACTTACCTACTTTAATGCCATTTGTGAAAAGAGCAAGTTAATTTAAGTTTACCATCAAGGTAATAATTCCTGGATCTCCTACAGGTAGTGCCTGTGACCCTGTGGTATGTATCCCAAATGCTTGGCACTGGGTGTTTTTCAGAGCTCAGAGTTTAGTGATTATAGAATGACCAACTGAGCATCCCAATCTAAATATCTAAAATTCAAAATGCTCAGAATAAAAAATCTTTTCAAGTACCAGTGTGATTCTCAAAAAGTTGTGGATTGGGGCTATTTAAGATTTCAAATCACAGGTGCTTAGTCAGTAGGAACCTTAGTTGAATGAACTCGATTCCATTTTAATGTTAATTTTGCAATATTAAGCTTTTTTTTGATAAAACTGTCTTACAGATAGAATTTTACACATAGAAAATAGGATACCATTCTTTATCATTAATTTTTATTAAAATGGAAAATGTTTCTGGAACTTACAGTCCTCGTTTACAATACCCAGGGACAGAAGCCCCCTGTCTGTAAGGAGATGAGTTTGGAGAAAAGCTGGAGACATCATGGAAATAACAGCTGGAGTGGAAAATTAGATGAGGTGTTGAGTTTAAAAAGGAGCTGATAATGGAATAAAATTTTATTTTGATGACAAAATAAAAGTCCCTTCGAGACAATGCTTAGTTCTCAAGTGTTCCTTGAGGTCAGAACTTTTACTTTCAGTGCTGGGGCTTGAACGCAGGGTTAGTCCATGACAGCCAAATGCTCTATCCCTAAGCTGTGTCCCAGTGAGACTACTGGCTTTATGGGATGAGAGAAACCATTTGGTTGTAGAGACCTTGGCACACCATGAGTCTCATGCCTTGGGAGTTGACTAACAGACAAACTTTTTGATTGTGATGGTTGACACAGATCTGCCTGGCTGGATTAAGAGCTACCTAACAGATGGGTAGGGCACCTCTGGATACTTCCAGAGATGATGAGACCTGGAGGTCCTAAGAAAGGCTCAGTCCCTGGCTGGATTCAAAATCTAAATGTATTACTGGAAGGCAGATAGATGGAGGAGGGGGCTCGGCTGGCTGGAAAGCATGTCATTGGGGGCATGTCCCTCCCTGGCCCCTTCGTGTTACTGTTCTTCTACTCTGCTTCCTGGCAGCTGTGGCCTGAAGTTCTCTGTCTTGCCATGCACCCTTCCCCTGCCATAATGGGTGGAAACCTCTGAAATGATGGGCTAAAATGAACCTTTTCTCCCTTAAGTTGTGGATGTTGTGTGGTCTGTCACAGCAAGAAATGCAGTTATAGTGATACGGCTTTTATCTTCAATGGTCTGCTGAGAGATGTATCACCGTGACAAATAGTTCTGTGTATTAAATAGGACTTAATGAAAAATTAATAAATAGCCTATTTTTTGGTATTCTAATGGTTTCTCTAATTCTAAAAGAATACATACAGTTTGGAGGGAGATAATTTCAAAAATTTTCCTCTACTTCTTATTTGTTTCTACAAAGGTTTTTTTTTTTTTCCTATGTTTAAAGGAGGATTGTGTGGTTTTATTTCATATCAGATACTAAATAAATAATGGAGTGAGGAAACATCTTAATACTAAAATTCTAGAGTTGGCACAAAAGAATACTTGTTATTTCCTTTTCCTTCCTTCCTTCTTTTTTTTTTTTTTTGGTTTCTTGAGATAGGGTTTCTCTGTAGCTTTGGAGCCTGTTCTGGAACTCACTCTGTAGACCAGGCTGGCCTCGAACTCACAGAGATCCTCCTGTTTCATCTACCTCCTAAGTGCTGGGATTAAAGGCTTGTGCTACCACCACACAGTGAATACTTGTTATTTCTAATTACATGCAGTATCTTACATGATGTACCATCAAATACTATAACTTACCACTGAAATGCTAACATACCATGAAATTTGAATTGGTGTCTGTTCATCTTCAATAGGCTCTTCGTCTGAAGAATCAAACTCACTTGCTTGTATTGAAATGGGCTTCAAAAGAAATGTTAAATTACTGCAAGGAATATATGCATATGATTTCCACATAGCCAATCCATGACTAAACATCCAGTCATTAATCTGGACTATCAGAGAACCAGCAATATCAATAATAAATGATTACTGTTGACCACTTGATTAATCATGGTACTGTACAGCAGGCAGAATTAGACTTAGATCAAAAGAATTTCTGGCTCCTGGAATTGGTTCTTGAATAACCTCGAACAAGGCCTGTGAATTCATTCTGGATTAGTTCTTTCAACTCTGAAGGGCAATTTGCCCATTTCTTTGCAAACACTTCTTGGACCTTCTACTGGCATGCTCTGTAGACCAGAAGACCCCGTGACACACTGTCTACCTATAGCATAGCTAAAGAGACAGCAGTGTGCAAGATTATAGAATAGCAGAAACCATATGCAGTAGAGCTGAGGGAATGACTAGCCATTTAGGGAGCAGCAAAGAGTTTCACAGACACCATCAAGGTAAGCTTTGAAGAAGTTGCGGGTTTCTAGGTAGACAGTGAAGTGAAAGCAATCTGAAAATCTGAGAGCTGAGGCAGGTTATGATGGTACAAGCCTTTGATGTCAGCATTAGAGACACTGAGGCACAAGTTCTACATGGCCAGGCTGACTCAAAACACAAGACAGCATGTGGGTGGAGGGGTGGAGGATTGTGTCAGTAGAGATGACTCAGAAAAGACTAAAGCCATTGGAAAGTTTGCTCTCCTTCTTTTTACAAAATAATCCCATACAGCCTAGCAAATGGGTGGACATATGTGAACTAGCTTCCCCTCATCTTAATGAATCACTGGACTAGAAGAATCCAGAAGGACCTTATATGCTGGTGTAGTTAAATTCTGGATGCAGAACTTCTATATGGAAGAAAAACATACTCTTCCCCACTCTTTAGTTGGAACCATTGGAGATCAGACATTTGAACAGCAAGTGTATACAAAACGGCAGTTTATTGAGTGGCAGAAGGAGAATGCTGTGGCTGAGTGATTGCCACATCATTCCAGAATGTGACTGATGCACCACTTTCCCGGGCAGTCCTGGTGAGCCCAGGGCTCCTGTATGCTAGAGAGTGGATCCGAAAGCAGGCAGACCTCCAGAGAGGAGAAAGGAGGGATCACTACTTGTATTCAGTTTCTTTATACTTAGAGATCAGATAGCTGATTCCTCTTCTCTGAGGACAGTGGAGTCAGAAGGTAGGAGTGAAGGACAACAGGACTCACAACCTGACGGGCTGCTTGGCTTTCGGGCTCTTCTATAAAGGTTTTGTCAGAGGAGCGTATGACAAATGACTTAGGTTATGGATTGGGGTTTAATGAAGCCTTTAAGTAAGGTAGGAACTATGGGTCAGGTGGGGCTTCAACTCCTGGCTAGGACAATCCCCCTCCCCCAATAAAACAAGACTTTAAGATTGTGTTGCTCATTCACTCCACCCCTCCCAGCCAGGTGTGGATAAAATCCTAACAGGGTAGTCGTTCCTGTTTTCCCATGCCCAGGAATTCTGACCTGCAGGGAATAGGATGCAAAGCCAAGAGGACCCTGAGGGAGGGTGGCGATCGTGATGTCACCTACAGACGGGGTCGTGACAGCCTTTGCATCAGAGGTATCAAGCCACCCATAAACCGGATTTTGATAGCCTTTGCATCTGAGGTATCAAGCCTACGGGGTTGATCCTTTCTGGCAGGGATGTCGTGAGCCCCCGCAGGCGGTCAGCGAACCGCAGTGCCCTGTTCCGCTACTCTCCACCTCCCCGATGCGCAGAGCGGTTACTGTGCGAGTCGCACCGCTGCCCGCCCAGCCTCGCAGCAGAGGTCAGCAGCGCCTGTCCCTGCGGCGCAGCTCCATGAGGTCCCCGCCGGCCCCACTCACCGGCTTCATCGCGGGCCGCGGCAGGCCGTAACCAGTGCGGCCGCCCTCGCAGCATCCGCATCGGAGCCCGCGCCGATTCTGTACCCCGTCAGCCCATTGGTTCATCCACGTGGGAGGTGGCGCGGTGCCTTCTAACAGCCAATCATATCCTCTCTCTGTTTCTTACTCCGCGCCACGGCTCAGCCTTTAACTGCTCATTGGTTCGGAGCAAGTCTTTGAAAGACGCGCGGGAGGAGGGCCCGGGAGAGAGTTGATTGGTTGGAAGGCTCCGCCCCTCAGCCAGTTGGGGGCGTGGACACGTGGTGGGGTGGGGTGGGGGCGTGGTTCTGTAGAGGCTGGTGACTGTAGACACAAGATTATATAGTTCAAGTTCCAAGGAAGACTTTTGTGGCACCAGAAAGAGTCTGTGTTGTAAATGAACTGCGAAAATAAGCCAGAGAATCTTCCTTGTGCAGGCAGGGTAAGCCTGTCTTTTGTGGTAGTCAAGTTTTCAAATAAGTACTAGTGAAGACAATCTGATTTGCTCAAAGTCTACCAGCTTAAATGTAATTTACATCCCCAAACATCCACAATAGTGTTTATCCAAATATCTGATTAATTAACATAGAGACCTGCTGGGATTTTCTATATTGATTGCATATCCAAAATCAAAGGTTAAGTTTGAACAACGAAGTAATAAATGCTACTTTACAGCTACTCTCTTTTACTGTAAGTCTACTTCTTTAGATGGTGTTGCAGTAGACATAGGGAATTAGTTACCACTCACTACAAATTTACTATTGGTCATAGTACAATATCCAAGAGCCTCCATGAGGGTATATAGTTCAAAGAACCAGCCAGTAGTTAAGCGCCTATCTTCTGATATGAGACTAGAATAGGAGGCTCTTTAAGTACAGTAGTTTTGCAAAAAATTTAAACAGATTGTCATACATTTCACAGTATACCAGAATGGTCTGTGTGAAATTATGAAATAGGTAAAGTGTGACTGTTAGTGCCTGTTTCCTTGTAGCTTGCCTCTGGTCCCAACCTCTCAGAGGTTACCCAGGACACTGAGAGATGAGGAGGTCCAGAACGTGGGTGGGGTATGGAGCATATAGGACGGTGAGACACACACCAGGTGTGTTGAGAAACACTACCCTGTGTGTGGTGTAGCATGATGGAGGAGTTTAGGGATGGAAGCACTGGAAAGGGGGCAAGGAGCTGACCTAGGGACATTGCTAAGGCAACGGAAGTTCACAAAACCACATCCCGTGTCCAGCCCCACTTGCTTACCCGTAAGCATGGGCTATGGTTTGAATCTGAACTATCCCTCAAAGGGTCATGTCTTGGACGCTTTGTCCTAGTTGGTAGCACTATTTTGGGAAGTTCTAGAAACTTGGGGGATGTTGTGTCAGAAATTGTGTCCTTTCATTATGGAATGTGGTGAGTTCAAAATCCTCATTTGAGGTAGTAGGTCCATAGGAGGGGACATTATAGGCATATTTTTTCTATCTACTTCCAGTGGCCCCCTGCATCTTCTACACCATGTTGTGAATTGTTCTGCTCTGCTACGCTCACTAAAATAATACAATGAATGTCTGAAACAGTGAGCCAGAAAAACCTTCCCTTAAGTTGCCTATGTCAGGCATTTTGTTCACTGTGAAGCTAAAGTAGCTAATACAGCATGTCTGGATAGGTGTTAGGAAATTAGTCATCACTGTGTGTGTGTGTGTGTGTGTGTGTGTGTGTGTGTGTGTGTGTGTGTGTGTGTGATATTTGCCTTGTGCCCGAAGCGGGTTTTGGATCCACTGGAACTAAAATTACAGGCAGTTGTGAGTTGTCTCAGATGGGTGCTGAAATCAAGCATCTCTATCTAGCACCATCAGCTTGTTTCTACATAGATCTCATCCTGAGCTGAAGCTTTATAATCATCTCACCATCTCCTTTGGCATAGGTAAGACACTGGGTGTTAGTTTAGTAATCTATTACATGGCACTAGTGAGCTGAAAAAATTAACTAACCATTTCCAGACTGTGGATCAAAGAACACTGGCTGCCTTAAGCTCCACACCATCAGGACCTTTCTGTCATGACAGACGTCATCCTCAAGCTGTCCTGACTAATGGTTGAACATGATGATGTACCTTACAGGTTAGGTGGTATGTTATAGTTTGAATGGGAAATGCAGGTTCCCCCACCCTTCCCATGCGCATGAGTAAACTATTTCTCCTTTAAGTTGATTTTGTCAATATTTTATCTCAGCAGTAGGAAAAGTAATTAGTAAAAATGATCTTTAGCTCAGTTTCTCATATAGTTAGTGTTCCCCGAAACCTCATAAGCCAGGCTGCCACTGTCTGCATTTTTCTTGGGATTCTGACCTTCCACACTACCAGCAGAAGTTTAAGTTCCGGTTACACCATTTTCTAGCCCACAGCCGCAAACTCTTCCACACTCTTCCCACAAATGGGTTCCAAAGCCAAAGAACTATGTGGTCAGGTTTATCATAGCTCCACCCTCAGCTCCGGTTTTCCGTTTACTTTTCTTATTGTTACGACCAAATTCCTAACAAGCAGCAGCGAAGGGAGAGCGGGGGTGGGGGGGGGGTGGGGGGGGGTGGGGGGTGGGGGGTGTTATCCCGGCTTATGTTTCCTGGAACTCGTCCCATTGAGGCATGTAAGGAGGGCGTGGCAGGAGTCCAGCCAATCACATTTCATCTCCAGTCAGGACCAGAGAGTGACCAGGAAGCAGGACTGGGCAATGAAGCCTTGAAGCCTGCCTCCAGTGACCACTGCCTCTGGGGAGGCTCTACCTCCTAATTGTTCCATAACCTTCCACAACAGTACAACCTGCTCAGGGCCAAGTATTCACATAAAAGTGCAGTAAGGCTGTGGAGTGGGGACCAGCATTTCCCATGCACACTATAATATACCACTTAAGCTGAGAGGCACATCATGTTCAACCATTAGTCAGACCAGTCCTGAATTTTCAGAAAACTTGGAAACGCAGTTGGTATAAGTTCCCACTGCCTCGTACCCATCATGTATCTAGTGAGCAGCCGAGAAAAGACCAGTTCTCCCCCACCCCTTATCCCCCCCTCGTTCCGGTAACTTCTGTGTTTGAGTATCAAACTGCCACCAAAGCTATGTGAACTGAAGGAAAGGATAATAGAGGGAGGCCATCGAACCATGCAACAAACCTCATCTAATGTTCACGTACCCTATGAAGTCACATATTCCTGGAATCAGTTAGGTCCCTGCCTACCAGGAGTGAAGGGGAGGTGGAGCCTCTGTTAGAGCTCACTTGCTAGGAGATAGCTGGTCTCCACCTCAGAGATGTAGAGACAGGCAGTGTTCCCATCCAAAGGTAAAGCCTCTTCCTTGGCCATCTACATATAATCCAGCCAGTATCCCCAATTATTCATGGCTTATGTCTCTCCCGAGGGCTGTTCCCATCTGAACTGGTTCTCCCAAGTTAATGTCTTGTTCATTGAACCTAGCCTGCTTATTCTAGAGAGTCCATTACAGCTGGTCCTGGAGCCAAAACTCTGCAGTAGAGCCACTGTCAGATTTTAACTTAAAGTCTAAAGAATTAGGATCTGTGGATTCAAGATTAAAAAGTCACAACCCAAAGACTTTTCTTGGTGAGTTCCAGAGGACCAAGCAACATGTTCCAATTCCAAGTGACAAACATAACTTTCCTAAGATCTCATGATTAAAAAGTTGATCCCGACTGACCCTCTTAAAAGTATGTTCACCAGTTAGAAAGTTAAAGGTCTCTCTCAGGGCTGAAGAGATGATCTGTAGTTGAGAGTACTGGCTGCTCTTGCAAAGGACCTGAATTCACTTTCTAGTACCCTCATCAAGGCAGTTTACAACTCCCTCTAACTCCAGTTCTACAGTATCCAGTGCCCTCTTTTTGGCCTCTTGGGGCACCCACATATGGCATACACTCATATAGACATTACACACACACACACACACACACACACACACACACACACACACACACACAAATCTTTTTAAAAAGATTTTGCAATTCTAAGTGTGTCTCTAGAAACTGTTCATCTTTCCATGTTCTCTCCTTCCCCTGCCACTTCTGTGAGTAAAAATCATAGTAAATCTCATGCACGCTGGGGGCGGGTTTGTTTTCCCACACTCAAGAGTTCCTGTTTCCGTTCACCAGTTGGTGCAAACAGACAAGTGTGTATTTGGTACTGCTGCCTTTGCAGCTTTCTTTGCTTCAGGTGAAGTTACAAACATACAACATTTCACATCAACTTTTAGTGCATATCTGGATAACACAAAGCTATCATTTTACTTATTTTTTTTTTTTAAGAAGATGACTTCCTGTGTTTATCAGTGAATTCAGCCTTTAATGGTGGATACTATTTCCAAGCCAGATGCTGACTGGGGGTGACATGATAGTTACCGTGGCAGGGCACAGTTGAGTTGAAGAAAAAATGGCAGAAAGTTTGAACCTTCCCCACCCCCACCCCCAATTTATCTAAAACTTTGGTCTTACACTGCAAACAGATGTAACTTGGAGGCAAAACCAATATTCAAACTTTCACATTAATTTATTCTGAAATCCATCTTTGGCTATTTGACGGCTCTTCATTGTTCTATTTGAAGAAGAAAATAAGACTGGAAGACGTCATCTGAGTTGTAGGCCTCACCCCATCATTGTTGGCTAAAATGGTCCACAGCAGCCATATGAGTTTCGTCTCTTGGGTTTTGAAATGATAGATCACCCCAAAATTCCACGAGAACACACAGTTTACAATATACACAGAACAGCTGCCTCTCAGTATCGGGGGACTCCATATCATCTAGACATTAAATATTTATCACCTTCTGCCTCTCCAGACTTCCTTTTCCTTTCAAATGCTTTCTGTTATATTTCAGGACTGACCTAGCACATCCCACTTCTGATGCCAACTCGGTCAGGGGGATTCCCCATGCTCACCTCTAGGTTTGCTGATTCTCTAGGATCATCAGGGTCCAGTGATAGAGTTGCCCTCTTAGCTGTGCTCTGTTAGAGCAAAGGACCTGAGCAAAGGCAGAGAACTTACATAAAGATGCATGAGGCAAACTCTGGGGGGAACTAGGTCCAAGCTTCCAAGAAAGTTAACCCAGGGAAGGCACACAGGA